GTGCCAGTGCCTTGATCTCAAACTTCACAGCCACTATAACTATGAGAAATCAATTTCTGTTGTCTATAAGGTACCCAGCTTATTACAGCAGTCCAAGTGACCTAGGACAGTCCAGTTTCCGGTTTTCACATGATTCTTTCGTTTACTCATCAACTGTGTATCGGCAAATATATTCCAAGCACTATTCTAGGTGCAGGGAACACAGGAAGAGCATATGGTGAGAAACAGAAAGTATATAAAAGTCAAAGGCTTAGGAGGAGTTGCTTCCAATAAATACAAAACATATCCCTGAACTTCCTGAGGGCTCAGAACCAAAAAGAGGAATAATAAGTAACAAAGATCCCATACCTAACAGAGGAAGCATACCAGCTCCTCAGAAAAGATAAACTTTCCCCTTGCTCTGAATTTTCCAATTGACTCTTTATAAGGAATATTCCTCAGCTTTTGAGTAAACCCGGTGGCGAAGAAGTTTGTTGCTATCATTTAAAGAAAAGATTGAAAGACTGGCACTGTTTGCTGCTACTGTTTTGCCTTGTACATTTTCCTCAGAGTGTGTTTTAGTTGGTAAATTCTGTTTCATTTCACTTCACTCCCTTCCATTCACTCTACTCTACTCTGCCTCTTTGATCCCATTCCATCCCATCTCATGTCATCGTTAACAGTAAGGCAGGTCTCTGTCTTCTTGGAGCTTTCACTCTAGAAATGAGGAGACAGCCAGCCAGCCAATAAACAAATAAATAAGAAATTGTCAGTGGTAAAAGCCATGAAAAAATACATGTAAAAGAGAGTGAAAGAGAGAATAATTTAGACGGGGTGGATAGGAAAGGTCTCTTTGAGGAGGTGACATTCTACCTAAGACCTAAATCATCAAAGGAGATAGTCATGTGAAACTCTCGATGAAGATTGTTCTGGGTGAACTGACATCACTGGAAAAGAACTTCGAGTCTTGAGCTCCCTTTGGAAATTGAAAAAGTCATCAGTAGTTCTGAAAATTTTTATTACCAAGCAAAATTTCAAATGAATAGGAAATCCTGTTCCTGGGAAAATAGACGGAGAAAGTATTACACTTGGCGATACATTTCACTGTGCTACTTTGGTGAAAAAAGATCATTATTATGTAATATTTTCATCAGTAGCATATAAAAAATGCCAAAGACTATTCCAGAAATCCTGAAATAAGTCTTGTCTATGCCCATGAAATGCTGTTAACTTTATCAAGATCAGAGCCTTAACCTATGACCTTTTAACAAGAAAACTTATTAAGAAATAAGGACAGAATTAAAAATCTTTTCTATACTACACAGAAGATCACTGACAATCTAGAGGCCATGTCTTGAAGTGCTTGTTTACTATTAAAGCAATGATTAATTTTAAAAAGTTAAAAGAAGAATTCGCACTTAGAATAATTAGAGTTGAACTCATTCATGGCTTGTTTGACAGCTATAAGATGTTTGGGGCAACGTTAATATGAGACTCTTTCCATTAAAGGCCGTCACCAGGATGAATACTACTATAAAATGCAGTCTCTTCTGCTGTTGAGTACTAGAAGATCAAAGGCAGGCAACCCCATAACTGCAAAGCTGTAGGAGGACTTTTGCACAACTAGTAGAAGGTGGCAAAGCCATGGCAGTTACTCCATAGCCAAAATCTATAGACACCATTTCAAGACTCAGAAAAGTTTAAAGTTTAAGCACAAATACTAATTTGTACTCTATAAACAGCATTGGCAATGCAGATCTTATTGACTTGAAGACAACGTGACTCCCAAAGGGTCTAACTTTGCCTAGCAAAACAACAGAATGCTCTGATTCTACTGCTTACTGCAATCCTCGTGAATTAGAGTTTTTAGCCATTGTTTCCTCAAAAATAAAAGATGAATTAATTGATTTGCGTTACATTGCCTTCCCTATGGGAAGGCAGAATAGTGTGGGAGTTACACCACAAATACTGAAGTCAGAATGATCAAGGTTCAAACCCAGATCCAATACTTTCTAGCTATATAATCACAAAAATGTTCCCTGAGCGTCTGTTCCCCATTTGTATCATAGATATAAAAATGTATGCCTCAAAAGTGCCTGTCAGAATTAAATGAGATAAAGCATGCGAAGTTTTTAGCATAATACCTAGAACATAATAAGGATTTTTGACACTGTAGATATTATAATAATTAAATGCATACATAGCATAAATATTGTTACATCAATATTCACTCTACAGCGAAATAACAGTAACTTCTCATTGAAGCGGAATTTGGATTTTTTTTCTATTTTTCACAAAGAGGCCATTAGTTTTGCATGAACAATAAAAGTGAAAGAGACATAATTTTTATATTCTCTTTATAAATTTTGAATGCAATAAAATTAGTTTATCCAAAATTGTGTTTGTGTATATTTTTTCCTAATAAGACATTCATAGTTTTCTTCGGTTTCTCAGAGATGTGAGTGACTTTTCTCTCCCTCAGAAAAATAAATTAAAAAAAAAAATTCATCTCCATACCCAAAGAAAGGGACCGAAGCAAAACCATTGAAAGATTACACAGGACAAGATGGGATGGGAGAGGTGGGGTGCAGCGGAGTGGAGTGAGTGGAAGAGAGGAAAGTGGAACAAAACAGAATTTCCCAGCTAAAACACACTCAATGAAATGCACGAGGCAAAATAGTAGCACCAAACAGTGCCAGTGTTTCAATCTTTTTCTTTAAATGATAATGATAATCCTCTCCATTGCCACTGGGATTACCCAAAGCCTGAGGGCTGTCCTTATATAAACAGCCAGTTGAAAAATTCTGCTCAGAACATGGGAAAAGTTTGTCTTTTTGAGGAGTTGGTATGCTTCTACTGGTAGACATGGGATCTTTATTATTTATCATACTTCCTTTTGTAAGGTATCCAGAAGATCAAGGGTATGTCTTATATTTCTTTTAAGCCCCTCCCCCTAAGACTTTGACTTGCATGTACTTTCTGTCCCCTACCCTGCGCTTCTTCTTATGCTGTGTTTGTACTTTGGTCCTGGTTTTAATGGTTCTATTGTAACTGTGTCTTTCATAAGGCCCCACAAATTTCCCTTTAAAAGCAGATATCACATAAATAAGGGAAGGAAGGAAGGAACAAAGCCTTCTTAGAAGTATCCCTCTAAATGAAGTCTTATAAATTTGGCAGCCTTAACAGGGTAAAGTTTTTTTAAACCTGAATTAAACTATTTTAAAAACCTTAAACACACAAACAAAAACACATTTTCCTCGAGTTTAAATTGCACTGGTTTTTTTTTCTGGTATATTTTCTCATCCCAGTTCCCTAAGTACTATTAATACAGTATCTCTAAACACTGTCGGGGCAGGTTGGTGGGGGAGGAAAGATCCATTCCCAGCTGCCACCCCCTCAGCAGCCAATAAATTGGACCCCTCTGGTCCTTAGCAGTGGCTCTCTGCAGCCATGCTCTGTGCTCCTGCTGGCTGCCCTCCCTTCAATCCTCCGCAATTACCTGCTTGGAGGGCACACTACCTCTCTGACTAGCATTATTTACCCTTATTTACTGTGTTTCATTAGAAAATTTCTCTGTTTTCTACAAAAGGGAGTGTTCAGCACATCCAACTTTGAATCCCTTTATGGAGAACCTCCGCAGCCCAGGGGAACCAGCATTAGGATTATTGAAAGTTTCTGTTACTTCTGGGAGGGCTTTTCTTTAACATCATTGTTTTACACACTACTGTCCCCTCCTACTCTCCTCCCCCAGGTCAGTTATAGCACACAGTAGGGGATTAACAAATATTAATTGAATAACCAGAAAAGTCATTTTTTAACTGATCTTAATTTTTTAAATAGTTTTCTACACCTGGAAAGTGGGAAATCTGTGTACAACCCATGAGATCATTTTATTTACAATCTAATTTTTTTTTCTTTAATTTCTTTTCTTTTTTTTTTTTTTTTTGAGACAGAGTCTCTGTTGCCTGAGCTAGAGTGCCGTGGCGTCAGCCTAGCTCACAGCAACCTCCAATTCCTGGGCTCCGGTGATCCTCCTGCCTCAGCCTTCCAAGTAGCTGGGACTACAGACATGCACCACCATGCCTGGCTAATTTTTTCTATATATTTTGAGTTGTCTGGCTAATTTCTTTCTATTTTTTAGTAGAGACGGGGTCTCGCTCTTGTTCAGGCTGGTCTCAGACTCCTGAGCTCAAACGATCTGCCCACCTCGGCCTCCCAGAGTGCTAGGATTACAGGCATGAGCCACCGCCCAGCCTATTTACAATCTTAATGATAACATTCTTAAACTTCCTTCTTGAAATGAAATTCTGTTCTGTGCATGTTTGGGGGTGCGGGCGCTAAATCCAGGAAGTCCACCTTTCTTGGATGTAGACAAACAAACCCAAACATGTGTTACTAGTGATTTTAATTATTATTCTGCTATCAATTGAGCCTAGAGTTAAAAGGCCGGGGGCGCGGTGGCTCACGCCTGTAATCCTAGCACTCTGGGAGGCCAAGGCGGACGGATTGTTTGAGCTCAGGAGTTCGAAACCAGCCTGAGCAAGAGCGAGACCCCCGTCTCTACTAAAATTAGAACGAAATTAATTGGACAACTAAAAATATATAGAAAAAATTAGCCGGGCATGGTGGCGCATGCCTGTAGTCCCAGCTACTCAGGCGGCTGAGGCAGGAGGATCGCTTGAGCCCAGGAGTTTGAGGTTGCTGTGAGCTAGGATGACGCCACGGCACTCTAGCCCGGGCAACACAGTGAGACTCTGTCTCAAAAAAAAAAAAAAGAGTTAAAACAGCAAAAAGAGGCCAATATGTCACTCTTCACCCTGCCCACTCACACACACATATTCATTTATATACAACCATCTACTGGCCATCAATTGACCCAGTCTTTTATACCCCATAAATGCCACCTTGGTGGGCAGCCTCAGCCTGGACAAGGCACTTCCCAGTACTGGCGTGTCCGGTGGCAAGGACAAAGGCTCAATTCCCTTTTTTGCTCTGAGTTAAATGTAGCAGAACAGCATTACCTCTCTGGATCCTGATCACAATCCTCCAGATGCCCAGTCCCACGACAGTGGCCGTCAGCAACCCACATACAACGGCCACCAGCACCCTGAGGTTACAGGCATGGCAGGAAGCCATGGTGAAGCCAAATCCACTCCTGGGTGAAAGATAACTGGCTTCTTTTCTCCTTGTGCTAGAAAGTTTAATCGGAAGCTATCCTAAAGCATAAAGATAATTTCTCCTTTCAGTGCTCTACCAGGCAGATGTCTTCATATTTTAGGAGTTTTGAGGTTAATCCAGCAGGATGCAGTTCATATCACCTAATAAAAGGTGCATACTCTGCTTGCAATTTCCTCACACTTCACCGAAGGAGAACATGAAGAAAGTAATTAGAGTTACGGAAAAAAGGAGATAACTTAGGGCAATAAAGAAGGAGGAGGGACTAGCAGAGAGGGTCAAAGGGTGAAATGTGCAGACAAGCCACAGAGTGAAGGAAGGGAACAAAATAGAAGAAAACGGAGAGGAAATCACAAAGGCACTGGGTCCTGGTGGCCACCTATGTCTCAGCTTCCCATGTTTTCGTCTTGGGAGGGGCCAGCAGAGGCAGACTAGCAGGTGCCTCAGGCCACACAAACACCCTCTTGGGGAAATGAGCCAGGTTGGCAACAAGAGGATAAACAGCAAGAGCCACACATGACTCTGGTGCTCGCATTTCTTTAAAGAGCCTACATTTTGACAGCTGCAGTGGGTGAGTGGGCATGCTGGCACAGGGTGAGTCTTGAAAAGCACTAAAGCCCAGCATACAACCCATCTGTTATGGGCTAAATTGTGTCCCCCCAAAATTCATATGTTGGAGTCCTACCCTCCAATACCTCAGAATGTGACCTTATTTGGAGATAAGGTTGTTACAGAATAATCAAGTTAAAATGATTAACCCCAAAGAAGAGCGTTATTGCTATCATCAGGGTAGACCTGAATTCAATATGACGAGTGTCCTTCTCAGAAGAGGAAATTTGGATGCACATATGCACAGAGGGAAGATGATCTGCCGAGATCCAGCGAGAAGGTGGCCATCTACAAGCCAAGGAGAGAGGCCTGGAACAGACTCTTCCCTCGGAGTCTTCAGAAGGAAATAATCCTGCTGACAGCTTGATTTTGGACTTCAGGGACAGAACAGTGAGATGATAAGTTTCTGTGGTTTAAGCCCCCCAGTTTGTGGCCTGGAAGTTAATACACCATCTGAGTCACTGCCAACTGGTGTCTCTCTGCAGCTGCCACTCTGAGCCTCTCCTGCACAGGATCACGTGCTCTTCTTCCCTCTCCCTTCTCCACCCTCAACTGAAAGGAAGAATGAGAGAATGTTCACCTCGTCAATCAGGGCTCTGTTTCTGCTGGGGAGAGCAGGTGCTCTGGTCTGCTCTGGACGCTCCCTCAAGTCATCAAACCCAATTAAATGCCTTCAGTGTGTCAGAATTGGTTCAAGACAAAGATGAGGTCCTTAAGGAACTGCTGTTTTCTCAGGGATGAGATACCTGGATATAGCTGCCTATAAGACAAGTAATAACTGTTAAAATAAAGGAAAATAAATTTTAATTATTACAAAGCACAGATACTCCTTGACTCACGATAGGGTTGCATCCCAATAAATCTGTCATAAGTTGGCAAAAGCCTAAATCGAAAATGCATTTAATACACCTAACCTACTAAACATCATAGCCTAGCCTACCTTAGTCTGCAATTGGGCAAAATCATCTAACACAAAGCCTATTTTATAATAAAGTGTTGAATATCTCATGTAATTTATTAAATATTATTCTGAAATTGAAAAACAGAACCCTTGTAAGGGGTGCTCAATGTATGGGTTTCTACTGAAGGCGTATCAATCTCATGCCATCATAAAGTCAAAAAATCTAAGTCAAACCACCAAAGGTCAAGGACTGCTATACTAGGCCATTAATTCCTTCAGGGAGAATTAAGCAAAGTTTTACAAAAAAAGGTTTTACATTTAAGCAGACTTTTTGTAAAGCCCTAAACAACTACATATTTTTTTTCCCAACTCTTTGTAATACTCACTTTATCAAAGTTTGGCTTTGAGGGGCATGAACACAAAGCCCTAACTTTACCCAACTCAGGAGTTTGAGAAAAACACGCCGATGTATCACAAAATGGAAGAACTTAGAAATACTGCTGCAGACGTGCAAAATAGATGAATGGGATCCCATCATCTCATTTACCGTGAATATGTAAAAAATATCTATTTCTAATACGTGTGCATGCAAGTGCACAGAAAATGTCTGAAGGGACACATAAAAAAGTCCTCTTGGGAGTGTGAGGGATCTGAGGTGGGAGAATTTTTTTTTTTAATTTTAGCTCCCCTTTTATGGTTTGAAGTCTTAGCCTTGTGCTTTTATTTTTTTTTTGAATTATTATAAACATAAATATGTATTACTTTTTTGATACTTTTTCAGTTTTCAATAAATAATTAATCTAAGAAAAGAAATCAGCACTTACCAAATGCCTAGGGTACACCAAGCACTGTGCTGTGTGCTTTACATATCTTTAGCTCATTCATTCTGTGTAAAAGCCCCATGTAACAGATGATGTTTTTGCCCATTGCATGAATGAGGAAATGAGGTTGAGATAGGTATAATTCTAACAGAAGTTCTGTGGTTTAGTAAATTTAAAAGATACTAGGTTACACAAAGTTAAACAGTTTTCTCCACTCTAGGATTGCCTAGAGCTTTCAATATGCTCATGTGCATTATGAATGTTCAAGTTCTCAATGTTATTTGACCACAAAATCCTCAAGAAGAATCTCTCAGGGATACTGTTCTTTGGAATATGCTTTGAAAAAAAGGCCCTGAGTGCTCATCTGCAGAAGGGAATTCATTGAACAGTGTGGCTAAAGGAACTGATCGTGGGACCTGAGTTTACCATCTGGTGATGGTGTTTTTCTCATGTAGGCTTCCAAATGTTTTAAAGGGAGTGTAGTCTAATGATTAGAAAGCTTACTTCAGGCTGGGTGTGGTGGCTCACGCCTGTAATCCTAGCATTCTAGGAGGCCAAGGTGGGAGGATTGCTTGAGGTCAGGAGTTGAAGGCCAGCCTCAGCACCAGCTTGAAACCCTGTCTCTACTAAAAATAGAAAGAAATTAGCCGGACAACTAAAACAGAAAAAATTAGCTGGGCGTGGTGGCACATGCCTATAGTCCTGGGTACTTATGAGGCTGAGGCAGGAGAATCGCTTGAGCCCAGGAGTTTGAGGTTGCTGTGAGCTCTGATGATGCCACAGCACTCTAGCCTGGGCAACAGAGTGAGACTCTGTCTCCAAAAAAAAAAAAAAAAAAAAGAAAGAAAGAAAGCTTACTTCAGTGGTACTCAGACATTCTCTCTCTTCCACACTCGGTGGAAGTGCTGGAATGCAGGGATGCTGCAATAGCTGTTGATTCTTAGGGCTTCAGTGTTCTCAGTGACATGACAAGGTTTATAAGGCCTGCCACCTACCCAGCTAGGAACTCTGGAAATTCATGGAATAGAAGAAATCCCTAGGCACAGAAATTAAGACGTTGACATTTATGTAAGGGCATGAATTACTATTGATTGTAGACACGTGTAAAATGGTCACTAATTTTTACATACGCAACACACACATATCAAGATGACAGAAGAAAAGGAAAAGAACTAAATAGGAAATATTTTATTTATTCTTCCATTCTACTCACAATGCAGACATTGTGCTAGGCACTGGGGATGAAATAGTAAACAAGAGGGACAAGGTTCCTGTCCCTACCCAGCTTACACTCTGGAATATCTGGATTTGTACTAAGGCTGCCACTAATTTTCTCTGTGACCCTGGGTGAACCAGTCTGCCTCCATTTCTTCATATTTGAATCAACCTACTTGAGGTCTTCTCTTCCTGAACATTTCAGTACTAAAGTCATCAGTCGAGGAAGAACAATACAGGTGTCTGTGGTGGGGGTAGAGAGGGACAGCAGCCCAGAGTAGGTGTCAGAGCCCAGGTGGGATAAGGAGAACATCTGCAATGGGGAGACCTAGCCTGAGATGTCAGACCCCAAGCAGGATGAAGAGGGCATCCATGTGAAGGGGAGGGTGGCCTGGCATGGGCTGCCCCAGGTGGGGCAGGAGAGCATCCCAGTGAGGGATGCCCAATCTGAGAACTCTAAGCCAGAGCAGGGACGGGAGGGCACCCTTCAGAGACCAAGCGTGGTTGGAGGGCATCTACACAGATTGTACATGGGAGGTCAGTGCCAGAGTTGTGTGAGGAGGGTGTCCACATGGAGTGGCGGCCTGGAATACAAAATCAGAGCCCAAATTGGGAGAGAAGTGTGTCCACACATGGGTGGGGAGTGGTGCTGGAGGTCAGAGATTGGTAACATACAGGATGTTGGATCAAACAGGTGAGCATATAAGAATAATGGGAGCCAAGTTTCTCACTCTAGGAGAAGGAAGTTACAAACATGGAAAGGGGAGAACTTGAATTCCACAAGAATTTCAAAACAAGTAATCAGAAATAAGAAGAAAATCTACGTGCTGTTAATTCTAAAGGAAGCAATACCCTCCAGGGAAGATGGCGGTCAGGCAAATGTGTGAATGAAGTCAGCAATTTCTCATTCAAAAGAGGAAAGCTGTTAGGACTACTACAACAAAGCCAAGTATTTCAAATGAAGGGATGTGATATTAGCTCTTATTTCCAATACTTGAACTAAATAATTTCCATTGTGCCCTTAGAAAAAAAGCCTACAGTGTTGCATTAGGGTTGGATGTCTCACATGAACTCACGATTCTTATACATTAATATATATCTATGTAATATATATAATATGTATATATTATATATCATTTATATAATACCATATTACATAGTTCAATATATTCAATAAATATATATTTATATAGAAATGTAGATACAAAAGTGTGCATATATAAACACACAAATGTGTATCTGTGTGTGTTTATGATATATATCACACATTTCTATACATATATTCTCTAACTCTGGCCCATTACTGGGTCTGGATGTAGGGACATCCCATTAACAATGAGTACACTATACTCTGGTGTCTCTTCAGATCATATAAATCTTTTGCCTTCAGCAATGAGCACACATAAAGATCAGACCTTGATTTATAAATACAACTTTCCACTTAAAGGAATATGGATCCTTGGAAAAATGGCTAATTCCTGGACAGCATCAGAGAAAGTCCAGGGCGAGCCAGCAATATCTTGTGCAGAAGGCAAGATATGATGGGTATATATCAAATGGATACAGAATCCAGCTGGAATAGATTCCCTATTACCAGATGAGGGACAATTTGAGCATCAAAATGATGTTTATAAATAAGCATTATTTCAAATAATAAATAATGGTTATAATTAAT